CCGTGTCCCCCGGCCCGGCGCTGCCACACTGGTCGCTCTCCCGGGCCGCCCCCGTCGCCAGTCACCACTGTCGCCTTGGGCCCTGTGCTCGGCCTCGGCCGCGCTGCCGCCCCGCGCCGCCGGGGCGGTCGGTGTTGTGAGGGTGGAAGCCGAGAGCGGAGTGCTGAAACGGGCCAGGAGAGCCACAGCTTTACAGTCCGTGTTCCCTTTGGCTCCACCTCCTCTAACGCACTACTTTGGTGTCAAATCCGGACAGTATGGAGTAGTTGTTCGCACTTGGATAAGGTTGTCTGCTGGACACCAGTAATCGCTGGTCACGGCGTAAGAAACTCCGGGATTGACACTGGAGGCAGCAGAACAGCCGTGTCGGCTCAGGCTCAAGGTGCATCTGTGGCAGCCTTTGCCTCCCATGTGCTTCATTTAAAACCATGTTCTTTATTTAAAGTTAAGGTAATGCATTTTTTTTGCAATTTAGAGTAAAAGGTATGTATTTTCAGTGTTTGCAAAAACGCTAGTTTCCAGGCAAAAGTGTAGCGGAAGCAATCTTATCGTACTCCTTTACTTCATATATTTAGGCATTGCACATAAATCACACTTAGTGAAGAGCAAACATGGTGTTTTTGATGGCAAAACGAAAATAAATGGGGAGGGCGGTGTCCCATCATGCTGTATAGCCAAGAAGAAACCACTTAGTTGTCTTGAATTGTCTGTGTTTTGCAAGAGGAAGTGAGCACTGCCAAGGTGAGCAGGGAACTGAGGGCGCTGGTCCAGGTGCAGAGCCGCAAGGCGGAGGTTCCCCTGCCCCTTGGCCAGTGCACAGTTTTCTTCTCACCAAACTCATCTTGTTTTTCAGTCTGATTTAATGGCTTATGTCACCTCTGTCTGTCCCCGTGCTCTGAACTGGAAGCTGGTTCACAAGCAGTTCAGATCATGGAATCATAGAATGGTTTAGTTTGGCAAGGACCTTGAAGATCATTGAGTTCCAACCTCCCTGCCATGGGCAGGGACACCTCCCACTACACCAGGTTGCCCAAGGCCACATCCAGCCTGGCCTTGAACACCTCCAGGGATGGGGCCTCAACAACCTCTCTGGGCAACCTGTTCCAAATCTGCATGTTTGAGTTGTTCAGTGCTAAAACAGGGCCTGGAATCTACTGTAATGAGTTGAGCCATAAAAGGTCATTATAATGGACCAGATAATGTAAGCAATTATCGTTTCAATAAATCCATAGTCCTAAAGTAGAGCGTTGAATCCCCTCACCAATTCTCACACCTGAGGAAGGGCTTGTCCTCTCCCTGTTAAGGGGTCGGTGCTTGTGGTTTGAAGCCAGTGTGTTTTACCTACAGACTCCTTGACCCAAAGCAGAGGAGCTGCAATACAGTCCTTGGTCTGTGAGTTTTGTTTCCTCAGTGCTCTCTTCAGTTGGTTTTAGAATTGGCATAATTGCATTTTCGGGTGAAAAACTGCAGAGGTTTGTAACATGAGCTTGTGGTTTACTCATTTACCATAGAGATTGAAAATTTTTATCCCGGACATTTTTGTTGTTCCCAAGGAAGATGAATTGAAATCTGCAGATGGTGCCTGGTACCCAGTTTCATATTTCAGGATCAAGAACCTGTACTGCAAACAAAGAAAAACTTTTAGTGTATTTGCTTGGCACAGCTATTTGCCTAACTTTTCAGTTATATAGATGTAGGGTCTGATGGGATGAGACAGGCAATTCAGTGGGCAAGACAATGCAACTTTGTAGTTTCTTAATTCAATGAAATTCATTTTCAAAACAATTTACAAACTCAGTTCATTTTTCTACTGTCCAAAAATCACTGCAAGCCCCAGGCAGGCAGAGGAGTACAGAGCTGGCTGCGTTCCCCTGCCTGGGTCCCTGTGAGATTGGATTCGCAGGGACTCGTGAGCTTATTTTGGCACTGAGCCCCAGCAAAGCTGTGTTGTCACCTACTCCTGAGGGATCGTGCTGCAGAGAAACCTGCTGCTTTCTTCTCTGACCCCCTGGCTCTTTGGGGGCTGCCCCGTTGCCTTATCTGGAGGGGCTCTTATTAAGTCTGAGCTAATAACCAAGCTGGATGTGGTGGTGATTGTCTGTAGCCACTTGGGCGCACCTGCCTTGCGTACTGGCACACAGTGGTGTTCCTGGGGATCCAGCACACAGCAGGACCTGCATGGCATAGAGGTGACTGTGCAGCTGGAGCGGAGGAGGTGCCAGAGGGAGCTGGACGGGACTTGTATGGTGCTGTGTCTCGCCATAGTGGCTACACAAAACCAGATCTTGCTTTGCTTTCCTCTTTTCTCCTGGAGGAACTGTTGTATGGCACTGTGCATCTCAGACATGTACTATGTATGTATGTAATTCTCAGGTCCTTGAGGGGTTTGGTTTTGTTGTTTTACCTCTTGTTTGCAGCTACACTAGGAGCTGTGTTTGGCGTAACTACCTGCCTCAGTGCCCAAATCCGAGAGGAACCAGAGAGTCCCCTGAACTATTTCATAGGAGGCTGTGCAACAGGAGCTGTCTTGGGTGCAAGAGGTAAACATGGATAATGTCTGTAATGAAATGAGCCCTCTCTGCTTTTAGAAACATTTCTGTTAGGGAGAAATGTAAAATAATCTTGATGTCAGGCATATTTGGTAAAGCTTCATCTTAGCATATGAATTCCATTTCATGCCAGTTTCACTGAAACTCCATTGTACAGGTCTGCTAAAATAAATACTGCTACAGAAGGCTGACCCAGTACTGCCGGTTATAACTAATAACTGAGCTGATAAGAGTTTGAAGCAGTGATTGTCATTTTTGTCACTGAAATAAGCAATTTAAGATTGCCTATGTAAGGACATGGGGTAGCAGATTATAGAAATTGATATTTCAAACTGTGAGCTAAAAGCATGAAAAAACAATTTTTAAAAAAAAAGTCACTTTTCTCTTGGCAAACAGCATTACTGATGATCAAGGGACTCTGAGTAGCTCATGGAAAAATAGCAGTCTGTCAAGATCTCCTGTGTAGTACTTTTTCCCTAATAGGTCTTTTATGGTTTGATTTGTTTTTTCCAGCGCACAGTTACATGACTGGTACCACTGCATGTTTGGGGTTTGGAATTACTGCTGCTCTAATGAAGATAGGTAACAAGGAGGGCTGGAGGCTGACGGGACCCCCCAAGCTGTAAATGTGGCCTTTCCTCCCTGCGAGCTGTCTTCTGAATGCTGTATGCAATAAGACGTTGTGTAATAAAGATACTATCAACTCAGCAGTTGTCACAAAATCTTGTGGATTCCAAAAGTTGGAGCTCAGGGCTGCGTCTTGTTGAATTTCATATGTGCAAACTGAAGCATATCCAGTAAAGCCACCAGGTGTAGAGGGTTGAGGCACAGGATGCATGAGGAGAGGTGAGGACAACTGCATCATTCAGCCTGGAGAAAAGACAGTCAAGGGCTGATCTAATACTGTTTTTTCACAATTTAATGATTACAGACAAGGCAGGCTCAGGTGCACAGTAAAAGATGAGAAATAACAAGCACAAGTTGCAGAAAGGGAAATTCTAATTAGGTAGAAGGAAAAAAAAATCTCCCAGTTGGTGTAGGTAAGTGCTGCAAGATGGATTGGAGAGGCTGTGAAATCATCATCTTTGGGGATGCAGAATTCCTCCAGACACATGGGAATATGGGGGTACAGGGACAGGACATTTGGGGACGGGGATACGAGTTAATGGGGGCAGGGAATATGGGCGCTAGGGGAAGCAGGGATATGGGGTAGGGGAACAGGCAGATGTGAGGGGAGGGGACAGGAGATAGGGGAGGGGGAGACAGGGAGGTTGTGGAACCAAGGACAGCAAAGGAGGAGACAGAGTGACATGGGGACATGCAGTCAAAGCCATGGCAGGCTGTGCTGCTCCCTGGTATGTGCTCTCTGTGGGGGTCCTGGGGGGACACAGGACAGCATTGAGGCCGTGTGGGGCTGGGGTCAGTGGGGCTGGGCTCCAGTTCAGGAGCACAATGGGTGGTGATGGGGTGTCCCCCCAGTGGGGTTGGTGGACAGGAGGTTGTTTCTTTCCCACCCAAGGACTTTTGCGGGCAGTCCTGCTTCACCCTGGGCTCTGGAGGGGAGCAAGGTTTGGGGAGGGTCTGTTGGTCCAGAGACGCCCAAGAAGACCTACCCAGGGTAACACGGGGTTCACAGCCCTACCTGAGAGGGGAAAAACACTCCTGGCAGCTTCCACCTGCCCTGCTGCCTGTCCTCAGGGAACCCGCATGTCCCCGCTGCCCTGTCCTGGGGCTCCAGGGCCTCGGACCTCCCTCCGCCTCAGCCTCTCCCAGCTCCCGGCCATGGCCACGTGTCCCATCTGGGCTATAATTACCCAGACACATTCCTGGGGGGTCACAGGAGCTTCCCGGAGCAGCGGCAGGCGGTAAGGGGGGACGAGTGCGTGGCACGGCACAGCGCGGTATGCCACGCAGCAATACAGGATATGGCACGCACCGTGCCGGGCTGCAAAGCATGCAGCCTGAGTGAGGACACGCAACATCATCCAAACAGCAAGCAACACGTGAGGCGCCACTCGTGACGGGGCGGGGGGGTGACAGTGTGTGGCATAGCACACTGCGCGAGGATCGGCACACCCCAGTGGTGCAAGAGAGCACAGGATGGGCAACCTCACACATCCCTTGTGGTGCCACGCATTGCAACACGCGACCGGCAGCGTGACATGCAACAGGCAGTGCACAGCTGTCGCTGCCATGCGCTGAATGGGTGGGACAGGCGGCTTTGCTGGGGAGCCGTTCTGGGGACCAGTAGCTTTGCTGCTGTTGGAGCAGCAGTAGTTTCAACCATGGGGCAATGGTTGGGGAAGGGCTTGGAGGCTTCTGCTGTAGGGCAGACGGTTTGATGGGGGACAGTGGACTGAATTATGGGGTTACGGCTTTCAGATGAGGCAGCAGCATTGGCTGTGGGTCAGTAGCTTCATCTTGAAGGTTCGGCAACGAGGCAGATGAGGGACATCAGCCCCACCTGTGGGCCAATCACATGGCCTGTTGGTCTCACCTGTGGGGCTGCAGTTTTGCCAAAGGGCATTAAATTCAGCTATGGGGCAGTAGCAGTTTCTGGTGGCTCCAGCTATGGTGCAGAGGTTTTGGCGATGGATCCAGTGGCTTTTGCTATGGGACAGTACAAGTAGCAGGACCTTGTGTCCCCAGCCAGGACTCCTGTCATGAGCCAGAGGCTCTGGCTATGGGTACGGCACCCTAACCCCCTGCTCCGTGTCTTCCCACAGGCAAAATGTGGGTTGCAGAGGGCTCGGCCCCAGTGCAGTGGAGTCTGCGGGACGGGGCCCATGCTGGACACTTCCTGGCCACAGCCGACCACCTCCGCACCACAGGACAGCTGGTGGACATAGCTGTGGGCCCGGAGGGTGACGCGGCTCATGCTGTGGTCCTGGCCTCCATCAGCTCCTTCTTCCTCCGCTTTTTGGAGGGCAGGACCAGAGAGCAGCACCAGACCCCTCTGCCCCATGTGCCCCTGCCACCTGGGGCCACGCTATGGGGCTGGCGGGCTGTGCTGGCCTTTGCCTATGGGGGAACCATGCCCCGTGGCCGGGAGAAGGAGGTAGAGGAGGCTGCCCAGGCCTTGGGGGCCCCCCGGGTGTTGGCCGCCTGTGCCCTGCGTCTGGAGAGTGACCCACAGGAGGGGGTTCCCAAGCCCCTGGAGGAGCAGTGGGAGACACTGAGAGCCATGGAACAACTCCATGCCAGCGGCCTGGGCTGTGACCTCCAGCTCCAGGCGGGGGATGAGGTCATCCCAGGTGAGCCGGCGGTGGGGGTCCCGCGGGAGGGATTGGGGAGGGCACACTGGGGTGGATGAGTCCCCTGGCAGGGATGCTGGGGTCTCAGCCTCCAGGCAGGGACTAGAAGGTAGAGGTGCCCCTGGGGCTGGTCCCCTCAGGAGAGCTGGAGTTTTGGGTGGGTGTCCAGAACACCTGAGTTGCCAGAGGGCTGTGTGGTGCCAAAGGTCCCCGCTGCCCCCACTGTTCTTCCTCCTTCCCCCTAGTTCAGCGCCTGGCCCTGAGCTGCTCTTGTGACTTCTTCCGGGCCCTCTTCACTTGCCCCATGCGGGAGGCCACCCATGACCCTGCCGCCCCGCTGGCCACTGGGCTGTCCCCAGCCGAGCTGCGCCTCCTCCTCTCCTTTGCCTACACAGGGGCTGTGGCAGGGCCATGGCCCGTGGTCCTGGAGGCAGCTGAGACCTCCCTGCACTACCAGGCATGGGGACTCTTCAACCTCTGCCTGGATGTTTTCACCCGTGGCTTGACCCCAGAAACTGGCCTGGATGTGTTGGCCTTCGCTGTGGCTTACGGGCTGGCTGAGGTGGGCCGTGCAGCAGAGGACTACATCTTGGCCACCTTCCCCAGTGTGGTGGCCACACCGGCCTTCCTGGATCTTCCTGCACACCTTCTCATTCGCCTCCTCCGCTCTGATGGTCTCAACATCCTCTATGAACTGGAGGCCCTGGAAGCGGCATCCCGGTGGCTTACGGCCAATGGAGATGGCCAAGAAGATCTAGCCAAGGAAGTCCTGTCATCTGTTCGCTTTGCTCTTATGTCCAGCTGGGAGCTGAAGAAGGTCCCATCAGTGACTGCAGGGGTAGCTGACCCAAAGGTCCTCCATGAGCTCGTGGTAGCAAGTTTGGCCCCCGTGGTCCAGCTGCCATGCCGAGTGCGTTCCTTACAAGAGGTGCTGGTGGTTTGTGGTGGAGACAAACTGACGTCCAATCTGGCTGCCCGGAAGCCCAGCACACACCTGTGGTTTGCCCACCGCTACCTCAGTGCTGTGGGGCTGGTGAAGCAGGTGGAATGGCGGGCACTGGGGCAGTTTCCTGATGGCCCACGCTTCCGCCATGCTGTAGCTGTGGTGGACAACATCCTCTACGTCCTGGGTGGAAAGCGCTACTATGGGGTCCATGACACCCTGGCCAGTGTCTACAGGTGAGGGCTACAGAGGACCTAGAGATGTCATGTGGCACCAGGACATTGTGGGATCAGAGGAGGTGTTGGTGGAGCTACAGCTGCCCCATGAACCCAAGGCATTGTGGCATTGCAGTTGGTCAAGTGGTCCCAAGGCATTCTGGGTTTGGTTTGGGGTAGGACTGAGAGGTGCCCTTCTGCTCTGGGATGTTACAGGCTTTTTGGGGGTAGGGCAAGGATGTTCCTATCTGGAGATGCCTGAGGGCATTAAGGGTTTAGTGTTGCCCAGAAGGGGGGGATATTGCCATGCAAAGGGATTGTGTGGCCCCAAGGCATTATGGGATTGACTGGTTGTTGGTGGGTTGCTGCCCTCAGTGGTGCCAACATCACCTCATGGCATTGTAGGTAACAGGTAGTCTCTTGTCCCTTTACCTCTCAAACCCAGGTATCGGCCTATGGATGATTCCTGGGAGCGCCTGGCCAGCATGTCCTGTGGGCGGAGCTACTTTGCCGCTGTGGCACTTGGGGATTTCATCTATGCCCTGGGCGGCAACTCGGGGGAGCTCTACTGCACAGACACTGTGGAGTGCTATGACCTGGCCAACGATACCTGGAGGTGAGACTGCTCCACGTGGACATCTGCTTTCCTCTGCCCTAGGAGCCCCTTGCATTGGTCAGTGGTGCCCATTGAGTGGCCTTTGGGTCACTGAGCCTCCAATGGAGAATGGGCCTACAGTGGCCTTTGGGAGAGGTCTACTGGGTGTTGAGCAACCATGTCCGTTAGGGACAGTGTTGCCTATTGGGTGGCAAATGAGTTTTTGGCCAATAGTATTCACTGAGGGTCTGTTGGCCATCTGCCAATGATACGAATCATTTAAACATTTTCCAGCTATGCTCATTAGGAGCTCTGTTGGGTATTGGCCAATGTCATCCATTGAGGGAGTCCACTGTGGGTCGACCACTGGTGTCTTTTGAGGTCTAAAAAGTGTTGCACAGTGATGCCCACTAGGCATCTATTATGTGTTAGCTGACACTGCCCACTGGGGCTCATGGGGTGTTGGCCAGCATTGCCACTGGGGAATTCCTGGGCAGGCAGTCACCATGGAGCAGCCCTGCTTAACCTGCCCTTCACCCCTCCCTCTCTCCTTGCCCAGGAGATGCCAGCCGCTGCCGATGGCTCTGCGTGGGCACGCGGCGTGTGCCCTGGATGGTGCCCTCTATGTGTCAGGGGGGTGTGATGAGGCATACCAGTGCCAGGCGTCCTTGCTGCGATACATCCCAGGTGCACCTGCCACGCTTCTGGCCCCTATGAACGGCCAACGAGCTGGCCACATCATGGAGGAGGCGGGTGGGCAGCTCTATGTGGCTGGGGGGCTGTGCCAGCGGGACGGGCAGACTGGCTACAGGGACCAGCTGACCTTTGAGGACAACAGCCCCAAGATGGACATCTGGGTCCTCCTCAGCCCCCTGCCCCATGCCCATGTAGTTGGGGGCGCAGCTGTGCTGGGGGGGGAACTGCTCGTACTGGGAGGGTACAGTCATGAGACCTACCGGGACACCCACTTGATCCATGCCTACCAGCCAGGCACCCGGCGATGGATCACGCGGGGCACCTTGCCCCATGCCTATACTGACCTCCAGGTTTGCGTCCTCACTGTACCCCCTGCCTTGCGTGGCCCCAACTGCCTTGAGGACCCCTCAAGATCACCTGACACCCCCAGTAATACTTAGGGGGGAGCTTAAAAGCTCTGCACCCCATACTGGCTCCCCAGTTAGCATCCATGGGCACCTTTAGGGGATGAAATTGCCCCCAGATCCCTCGCCCATAATGGGTTCCTCCTGTGATTTCCAGCAACCCCCCCGCCCCAGACTGTAGGGACCCCATGGGACACAAAGACTCCCTACACTGCAGCCCTGCACTCCCCTGCCCTGAGCTCTGGGCATTCCACAGTTCCACCCCATTCCCTGCTTTGGGTCAAATAAAAGTGGCTCCTGAACTGCCCATCTGGGTCTTGTTGTTTCTGCTGGGGAACCCAGACATCCAGGTGCTTCTTGCAAGGAACAGGAGAGCAGGAGACCAACGGCTTGAGTTTCCTGGATGGGTGGTGGTGGGGACCAGGATTGCCTGGATTCCTGGGTTCCTTGGGAGCAGTGGGTGGAGGGCCCTAGGTGCCTGCATTCATTGGGCATGGGAGAGGGTGTGCGTGTGTCTCAGGACTGAGAAGCATCTTGGGGTGCGTGAGGTATCCTGAGGGAATAAGAGAGTCCTAGGGATGCCAGGGTTTTGGGGTAGATGGCAGGGTAGATGGAGGCATTGCAGGGGTCCCGGGGGCTTTGGGATTCCTAGGTGGCTCTGGAAGATCTTGGCTTCCTGAGTGACTCCAGTGACCCAGAGTGCTTGGTGTGTGGAGAGGTGGGAGAATCCTAGGGAGGACTTGCAAGGAGAGGCGGACATAATGGGGATTCTGGGAGATATTGGGGTACCACTGATACCTTTGGGGAGGGAATTGAGGGTCGTGGAATGTGTAGGGGAGGGTTGCAGGTTCTCATGGCTCCTGAAAGCAGTATTTTAGCTGCAGTCTAATGAGTGCCGAGCAGAGGGAGATAATGACTTCCCTTGGTCTACTGACTACGCTCCCAGTAACCCAAACCAGGCTTCTGTTGCTCTCTCTTTGCTGCCAGGGTGCACTGCTGGGTCTCGTTCACCTTTCTGTCGACCAAGACAAACAGTTCCTTTTCCATAGCTCTGATCCCCAGACAGCGTGTCCCCCACTGGCATTGTTGTGGTCTTCCTTCCAAGGCGTAGGACTTTGCATTTGTCCTTGTTGACTTTCATCAGGTTTCTGTCAACCCATTTCTCCAGGGTGAATGGTGCTCCCTGAATGGTAGTTCTGTTGGAAGCATACGAACTGATCCCTCCTAAACTGGTGTGATCTGCCAACATGATAAAAGCACACTTGGCCACCTCCTCTGTGGCATTGATGTTAAACAAACAGAAGAGTTTCCAGCGCAGCTCCATGTGGTACTCCACGTTACTAGCATCCAAGTGAAGTACGATCCATTAACCCCTAGTCACTGGTCCTGACCTTCACATCACTTTTTACCTGACCAATTCTCCAGCCATTCAGAGCTTGATGGCCTCACCTGGAGGCCATGACATTGTGGGAGAGGTGTCAAAAGGAGGCCAAAGCTCCTGGAGAGGTGAGAGCTGATGCACGCTGCCCCACCACAGAGCCTTAGCACAGGAATGTTAGAAATGGCACCGTCACAAAACAAGAAAAGGCATCCATAATCAACAGCATTGCTACACAAGACCAGAAGGGGCTGAAAAATGTCCCAACCTGTAGTAAAAGTATCCAATAAAGGGAAAAAATCAATGTAAAGAAACAGTTCAAACTAAAGTATTAGAGGTCTCTGGTGTCACTAGGGTGTCCCCAAGGCCATTCATGTGTCCCTTGGATGCTCTGAGGGTATCTGAGGTCTCCTGGGCTGTTGCAGTCATCTCTAGAGTTGTTTAGAGGGATTCTGGGTCAAATTTGGGGTCTCTGGGGCTGTTTGTCTTGTCCCAGAAAAGGAAGAGATTATGGTGGGGTCAGAGGACAGCACCAACACACAAACAAATGCTTGCTTAAAAATGTAGAACTTGGGTGTCCACAGACGCACTAGCTTAGAAGGATGCTCGCCCCAGCTGGCCAAGTACAGGCGTGTGTATCCTTCTGTGGACCAATTAATTAATCTGACAGAAGGCCTGCTGACCCACAGTAGCTGGACAATACGTTTGAGACAGTTGGAACTGGAACAGTGTTTGAGACTGCATAAGTGATTCATATGATCTAGTCACTGCATTTGTGCACCAGTGCTGGGGCCTGCCTTTTGACAACCCCCTCCAGTGACAACCTCTGTCTCCTTTTCACACCTCCCAAAATTTTTTGGGTGACTTTTGCAGAGGTGTTCACAAAGTTTGGCCAGCCCCTGGACATTTTGCCCTAGTGTGATCCATTACAAGTCACACCCGTTGCCCTCTGAATCCTCCCGCCCTCCTCCCTCATTTCCAGCCATCCCACTATGGGTCATGCAGGGGCATTGACACGTATCGTTTCCTGAACTTATTCTGTGATGGCGGGATGTGTAGTGGGATGCTTTTCCCATGGGATTCAATCCCATAGTGAGGGACCATACATTTGGGGCAAAAGCCAGGAAGCTGGGTATAAGTGGACTTTTCCTCTCTGTCTTCACTCTTCCAAGTACTCAAGACAAGTTTGTAATTCACTCTGCCCTGCCAGAACTATGGGGGGGGTCCAATGAAATGAAACTAGCACCCATTTGAAATTCAAGCAAAGAAAATATTTATTCTGTGAGTAGCAACCTGGCACTGAGCTGAAAGCGTAGCGCATCTTTATGTGCATCAAGAAGCTGGGACACAGAGTACGAAGTAAGCTCTGATTTCCCACACTCACCCCGAAATCAGGCAGTGTCAGCCCCAAACTATCACTGACCAGATTAAAACATCTTCTCTCCCTGCCAAGTGTGCAAGTTTCAGATCTAGAAACCTCAGGGTGTGTGAGAGTAATACTAGGGGAAGGAGCTGGATGGCTTTTCCACGGGCAAGCAGGCCTTTCCCTTGTAGAATAAGGGTATGTGAAGCAGAGCCATGACCCTCCATCTCTTTCTCTGAACACACAGAAGCATTTACAAGGTGTTGCCAGCATATTTCACTCTGACCCCACTGATGGCCTCGACACCCCTGTCCAGGCTGTAAGCAGAAGGGGTCCTCAGGGACTTGAGGTCCGTGACTGTCAGCTTTCTGGAGAAAGACTTGCACGAAGCACTCAGAGAACTATGGTGGACCCACAGCTCCTTTGTGGTACAGAAGGAGGAACTTGCAGGAGGACTGCACTGTATCCCCAGGTCTTTAATCGTGCAGTAGGTGACCTCAGGGCACAACTCTACTTCCTTGATGGTACAGAATGTGGGGCGCTGGGGGGCGCTTTTGAAGCTGCTGAGATGCATCTCAGGGCTTCCTGTCAACTCCCTCCACCTCAGCAGTGGATACTGCACCTCTTGGATTGGTGGAGACTTGTGCCAGGAGGGTTGTCCCATCAGACACATCCACACCAGCCAGCCTGCTAGAGCCAGCACACTCAGGACCAGCAAAACCAAGGAGGCCAGGTAGAGCACCCAGTGCAATAGGCAGCAATACCTCAGCACCCACTGCCCCCACTGCGGACCCTCCCCACCTGCCCGTGAGCGCAGTACGGGTACAGCCAGCGCTGGGAGGGAGCATGGGCAGAAGGGGAGTGGTGCAGGTGGAGGGGAAGCTGCAGGCTCGGTGAAGCGTGTGGTGTCCAGGGGAGCTGGTGGCGTTGGAGCATGAGTGGAAAGCATGGTGGTGGAGACCATCAGCATGGTCGATGTCAGAGGAGGAGACGAAGATCTGACAATGGAAGAGGCCTCCAGCACGTCAGTAGAAGGCACTGTTGTGGAGGTGGTGGAAAACATGCCAGTGGACACCATGAGAGTGGCAGAGGTGTTGGTAGCGCTGGTGGTGAGGGTGGTTTGGGGATGGCTGCTGGTGCTGGGAGGTCTGGTGCTCACAGTGGTTGGCAGTGAGGTGGTGGAGACAAGGGTGGCGGATCTGTGCGGGGTGCTGGCGGGAGCAGCAATGAGAACGGCGGCAGTGCTGGGGGTCTGTGTGGGTGTGATGGTGGGACTGGGTGGCACAGGAGTGGTGGTGCTGGGAGCTCTGGTGCTTGCAGGCATTGTGGGCAAAGTGCTTGGGGTGAGGGCAGAGCTATAAGGGGTGCTGAGGGGAGGTCTTGTAGTAGCAAGAGGAGGCCAGGTAACAGCATGGGGAATGGTAGCTTGCTCTTTGGGGATGGATGGATAGGGAGTGAAGAAGGTGATTGTGGTAGCTTTCGCCATCGTTTCTTCCTCATCATCATATCCATCCTCTTCCTCCTCATCCATATCCCCCACGTTGCGGCAGTTGGGCTTGAAGCGGATAATGGGCTTCTGCTGATGCTCAGGGGGGCTGTGGCACAGCACCTTCTCGGGGGCAACCTCCACCTTTGTCTTCTCCAGGCCCCGCTCTGGCTGATAGACACTGCCTTCATTCTGCAAGATCCAGTACCGCAGGTAGTACAGGTCACAGTTGCAGTGCCAGGGGTTCTCAGTAAGGAAGACATATGCGAAGAGGTGGCCCTCAGGGAAGAAGTTGGTGGGCAGGGTCTGCAGGCGGTTCCCTGAGAGCCAGAGGGTCTCCAGGTTTTGCAGATCCTGCAGCAGCTCCTTGGGGAGCTCCTCCAGGATGTTGTCTGAGAGGTCCAAGTCCTTGAGTGCCCTCAGCTCCGCAAAGGCCTCCTGGGGCAGCGTCCGCAGCCGGTTCCCTCGCAGGTCCAGGTCCTGAAGCTGTGGCACATCACGGAAAGCCCCCGGGGCCAGCGCTGTCAGGCTGTTGTGGGCCACGGCCAGGCGGGTGAGTGCGGGCAGACCCTGCAGGGTGGGCAGAGCCCCCAGTGCGTTGTGGGAGAGGATCAGCTCCCGCAGGGATGGCAAGAGGGGCCCGGTGTTCAGAGTTGCCAGCCCGTTGTCAGACAGGTCAAGGTCCTGCAGCTGGGTGAGAGGCAGGAAGACAGCGGTGGAGAGGGACACCAGGTGGTTGGCACTAAGCAGCAGGATGCCTGTGTCCATGGGCAAATCTGGGGGCACTGCGCTGAGAGCCTGCCCTGTGCAGTTCACCTCCAGGAGGTCCTTGACCTTGTTCATCTCTGACAGGCAGGGCTGGCCGGGGTTGATGGTGCTGGCTGGGGGCAGCAGGGCCAGGAAGATGAGCAGAAGCAGGGCAAGGACCCTCATGGCCTGGAGGGGAGAGCCAAGAGGTGTAGGCGCAGGTGACCTACAGGTCACCTTTCTGTCCATGTAAGCACTGTTCCCAACAGAGCTGGCATCCCCCACCAGACTCTCTGGGAGCCTTCTGAGCCCCACAGCTCCTCCCTGGGAGGATGGAATGGAGACATGAGTCCCACAGCTACTGCCAGCACACCCCCCGTCATCTCGTCCTTGGAGGGCAGCAGGCTCAGCAAGGAGACACGGTCTCTGCCCTTTTGCTCACCTTATTCTCCTCTGTGGGAGGGAGAACCTGATTCACGTGCCTCCTCATGGCACTGCCTCCTCTGCCAGGGTGGCATTGCTGCCCTCACCACTGCAAAAGCAGTAGCTCTGTGGTGTTCACGTACCTGCATACCCACATCCACCCCAGCCCAGAAAAGCCATGTGCTGGAAGAGGCTCCCTGAATATGCTCTTACCCAATGCCAGCTGAGCCCTCTGCTTGATTTGGATTCACACAGTAGGAGCATGAATCATGTGAAAAGAGCTTCCCATGCACAGACATGGCTACCTGGAGTGCCCAGCCCCTGATAGACACCACTTCCCTGGGACTCACCTGTGGACCCTCTGGCGTTTGCTCTCCTGGTCCGGCGGCAGCGTGAGCAGTGGGGCTGCCCGGGCCCTCTATCAGCCAGCACAGCTGTGGGAAGGGAGCTGTGGCTTCCTGAGCAGCCAAACCCACCTCCTGTCCTTCAGCACAGCCCTCGCTTCAACTGCGCCGCCACACCACTCGCCTTGGAAAAGCTTCAACCGGAGACCAGCTCCATAATTTCTTGCTTCTGCGCCGTGAAGAAGGGAGGGCTGCACCCAGGAGGAGCCCCCGTGTGCCCTCCAGGCCACACCTTTTCACATCCCAGGAAAAGGGTCCCGTGCACAAATGTCTGCCCCTTTGTCTGCTTTGAGGCAGCTCTTTCTCTGCACACTCTGGGCCTTGATCCTTGAGGCACCTCAACCCGGGACCACAGTCTAGTTGGCATATCAGCGAGAAACAGTTCTGCATATTACCTCAGCTAGTTTTTGTGGGGTAGACAAGGGATCCCCTCTTTCTGGCTTGCCAGGAAAAATGGGGATGGCTTTTGTGGAGAGCTGTGAGGCAGCTTTAACATTTGTGGCCGAAGCCGCAGCACAGACAAGGCAAGGAGATTAGAGGCAGAGGAAGGAGCTCAGTTTTGCAATTCCTCCTTCCTGTTCCTGTAGCCGAGCTGTCTCCATTTCCCTGGCCCACAGGTCACTGCAGAGCATCTTGGACTGTGGGGCTGAAGGGTCACCCAAACGCTGCAAGGAGAGATGCTACAGGGGAGATACTGGTTTTTCTACTGGTTTTCTATTCTGTGGACTGTGATGGGTCAACCCTGACCAGCAGCTAAGCACTGTGTCTATAGTGGGATGGGGGAGAGAACAGGAAAGGCAAAAGTGGGCTAAAATCCCCTTGTGGGTCAGGATAAAGACAGTTTAATGAGTGAAGGAGAGAGAAAAACAAGCGATGCAAAAGTGTTCACTCACCACCTCCCACTAGCAGATCGATGCCCAGACAGTCTTCGAAAAACTGCCCTCCCCCCACCCTGCCCAGTTTTATTGCTGAGCATGATGCTACGTTGTATGGAATATCCTTCTGGTCCACTGGGGTAAGCTGTCCCCTGTGTCCTCTCCCAGTCTCTCTCTCCCCCCAGCCCAGTTGCTGCAGGGACGTTTTAGTTCAGCCTGTAGTAAGAAGGCTGGAGGCAGCAGCAGAGGCAGAACTTGGGGGAGGGTTTTTTGGTTCCACATCAGAGATTTCCAACAGAAAGCAGGGGATAGGAAGGGAGAGAGCAAATGTAACCCTGGCCTTCTCCTAGGATTGCAGGGATTAAGTCTGCATGTGGTTTCCCCTCCTCCACGGTGATACTCTTACCCTCATCCTGGACCTACAGCATCCCCCACAACACAGCCAGTCGCTTTTCCATGCCATGGCCCCATGTTCCCAACTGATAGCCTTTATCATTGCTTCTGCCTCTCTGTCTCCCTTTTCCAGGTGGATAAATGCACTAGAACACCTTGAACCTTCAACAGGTCCTTCACCCAACCTGCTTCACTCCCTGAAGGAGAAGACCCAAGCAGTCCACTGTGACAAGCCTTGCTGAAGGGGAAGCACTGTACCAGAGGACAGGAGTACACAGGCACAGTCTTCCCATGGCTGGTTACAAGCAAGAGTGATCCTGGGATCCTGACATCCAGGTGGGAAGAGCAAAGGATCAGGGACCATGTCTCCTTGCTGAACCTGCTTCCCTCTGGTGAAGGCAAGAGGGAGATGAGGGTTACATCAGCCATCCTGCTAGCGACAATGCTTTTGCCCCACATTTGCAGTCCACTCTCGAATTTCTGTCCTAGGTTCACCTTTTTGTCCATCCCATCGACTTCTTCCCCTGCTCCAGAGCCTGTTCCCACACCCTGGGGGTCGATCTCCCATGAGGTTGTTGCTTCAACCTTGATCTCACCCACAAACTGTTTCGAGTGGGTGTTTGGAGGGAACAAGGCTGTTTCCCACTTCCTTTAGCACCTCACCAACACTGTATGTGACTCTGGGAAATAGGAAGGAGATCATGAGGTCATGGTGCCCAAGGGTCATAGAAACATGCAACTTCATTGCCCCTGGCTTGAGGAGCACAGTGCTTCTTCTCCAGTGCAGAAAGCAGGGTCTGTACCTTCACTTTCCTACCAGTCTTCTTTCAGGGACATGAGCATCTAACCACTCTTCAGAGCCCTGGCAGCAGGGGCCACCCTCATGCTGCTTGTCCCTGTAGACTTGTGGCACTGGTCACAGCAGGCATTGGAGCACTGTGTCACTGGGTTCTTCAACAAGCTCCTCAGCTATGGCAGGCTTCACAGCTGATTTCGCATCTTCTGCATTGCGTGGGCTTGTGCATGGCAAGGAACAAAGCTGAGACATGACCACCAACCTCTGGGAGTGTTACTCCTGGGGGCTGGGCAGGCCTGGAAAGAAAAGTGAAAGCTCCACTAGCATCTCTGAGCTGTTCCCTTCGGCTCATCCATGGAGGGAGGATGGAGCTGCCCCAGGCTAAGCATGGACCTAGCCTGGCACACATACAAGTGCATCCTCTTTCGTTCCTGACAAGCCCGTGAATTCAGCAGTAATGGTGAAGCCTTCCCTTAGAAAGGTCCATGCTTGCTGGACATCAGTTGAATGGAGGATCTGGTGCAAAAGCATGCCTGGCCTCAGGGGAAGCACATATTTCTGTCCTCCCCTTGCCAGGTGGCAGTTTCCACTAAAGCAAAGTAATCTGCAGTTACCCAAAAACATGCCCCAATATGAGACAACCTTCTACGTACAAATTTTTCATTCCTCCAGCTTCATTTCAGCCCACATGGGACACTCTGAGCCTGCTCAGGTCCTCAGCACCGTAAGCAAAAGCAGCTTTTCCTGCCCCAGATGAACTGCCAAAGGTGGGATCCATCTTGCAGTGTTAGATGTCTCTGGGTGAGCTTGTCACCTGGGCTTGTGCTGTGGGCAGGCGTGGGGACAAGCACGGCATGCACTGAGCCCACTGACATGCCTTCGTTGCCTCCTGCAGGATGAACCATTTTCTCAGAAGTGCCTGCAACTCCCCGCATGCTAAAAGGAGGTGGAGACAATGCCTCAGACACAGACATTTGGTGCTGATACACATACAGACAAATCTACTGACGTAATTTTATTCTGTACATTTAAAAAGTGATCCCTGTTGCGGGAGCGTCCTTTCAGTGGAAGTGTCGTTCAACAGGTAAAGAGTGAGGATGAAAGGCAGCAGTAACAAGTTGTAATTGGGGAAACTCTGAACAAACATGAAGGGTTAATTTTTCCCCTTGAGAGAGGTGCAGCACCAGGACAGAGGTACAGAGAGGTAACAAGATCTCCACCCTTGGAGATCCTACACAATTCAGCTGAACAAGGTCCAGAGACACCTAAGGCAGCTTTGAGGTTAGCCCTGCTGTGAGCAGGTGGTCGCAATAGAAACCTCCACAAGTTCTTTCCCACCTAAATCTTTCTGTGAGTCTGAACTACTGAGGTCCTCTAAAAAAGCCTTGCCTTACTCCCTCCTCTTCATCAGGGCCACATTTTGAGCCACGTCCCAGGACCCAGCCAGACCCAAGGCCGGACTTTTACTCCCTCAAATGATGCCAGGGGAAACGTGAAGATGGGAATCTCCTCATCAACACTGAAAAATGCCACCCGTCCCTCTTCATAATCCAGAGAGACCCGGATCTGCTTGGGAGTCTGGATTTCAGGAAGGAGAGTGCGATTAGGGGATGTAAGAGCTTGGAAGTGCCCTGCCCACTGCCCCACTGCCCAGATGCCCTCCTCTGGTTTAAACTCGATCTCGCCTTTCCTTTTCACATCTTCTCGAGAGACCCCCACAATCCATCCTCCTCCATCCACCACCTCCACCTCCCAGTAGTATCTCCCCGAGGTGAAGCCTTGGTGGCCCAGCACGCAGCGCCATGGGTTAAATCTTTCAGGGATGTCAGGGATGTCCTGCCGCGTGTCTTCTCGTTTCACGCTTTTGCAGTCGTCAGACAGGACAAGGTCACAGTGGGCTGTGTCTGGATCCAGAACCACATTCACTGCAGGAGAGATGGAGTCAACACATCAGGGCAGAGCTCACCCCAGGAGAGACCTTTGCTGGGGCTGCATAAGGAAGAAGAAAAAGGGTGCAAACGATAGCTGGCACAGTGTGCCACAGGAAGCTGCACAAGGTAACAATATTAGTGCAAGGAACCAAGCAGAGAGATGACATCGAGCAGGGAGGGAAGAGAACTGTAAGCAGACCTCCAGGCTGAAAAAGTCCCCATGTCTCTAAAATGTGGCCAGCGCTGCTCACTGAGGAGCAGGACTCTCCAGATTTGCCTGAAACTGGGTCACAAAATGAACACAGGGCTTGAGTGTTCCTCTTCCTCCTGTAAAGCGAGAGCTGGCAGAAGCATCCCTGGTCCC